ACAAAATGACCCCGCCACCCCCCACTCCCAAACAGATCATTCTCGGCGCTCTTCTGCATGACGTTGGCCACCTGGCGGGCATTCGCGAAGGCGGGGCGCGCATGATCACGAAGGGCGTGGTGCTCGGCGCGGTCAATCATGAGGTCATAGGTCAGCTTTTGGGCTTTTTTTTCGAGTGGAAATTGCTGTTAGATTTTTTTTCTAATGAATTAAATATTTTTTTGTTATTATAATCATTACTATTGTTATTTTTATTACTGTCATTATTTATTTTTTACCATAGTCATTATCATTATTTTATCATTACCATTATATCTTTTTATCATTATCATTATTATTTTCAGCATCATTATTATTATCATTTTTTATTACTATCATCATCATTTTTTGCCATTATCATTATTATTATTATATTTATTATTATTAATTTTATTACAATCAATATCATTTTTACCATTATCATTATTATCATTATTTTCATCACTATCATTATTATCACCATAATCATCATCATTATTATTATTATCACCATTTTCATCACTATCATCATAATTATCCTTGTCATCCTTCGTCAGGAGCGGAGTACCTGGCTCGCCTCCGCTTCCCTCCTGCGGTCACGGCCTTCGTCAGGCGCCACGTGCAGGCCAAGCGGTTCCTCGTGGCCACTGACGCCGGCTATTATGAGAGTAAGTTAAGGGGAAAGGGATATATACATACATATATATATATATATATATATATATATATATATATATATATATATACATATATACATATATACACATATATATGTGTGTGTGTGTCTATGTGTGTGTATGTAGGTATATGAATGTGTTTGTGTAATATACATATATATATATATATATATATATATATATATATATATATATATATATATATATATATATATATATATATATATATATACACACATACACACATATATATGTATTATATATATATATATATATATATATATATATATATATATATATATATATATATATATATACTTTTTATATAAATGTGTTGTGTGTGCATAAAATCCATTACGTTATCCCTTCACTTCTTATTTTCTGTCCACCTCTCTCCTTCCCTTCTTCGCCTCTCGCCCCCCCTCCCCCAGCCCTCACGGAAGCGAGCAGGATGACACTCGAGCATCAAGAAGGACCGATGACGGAGGAGGAGGCCAGGTCTTTCGCTCAGGATCCGCAGTTCGACGCCATTTTGAGGATGAGGAGGTGGGACGAAAAAGCCAAGGACCCCGAGGCAGTCACACCGCCCTTGGAGCACTATAAGGACATGTGTTTGGGGTTCCTGCGGGAGAGCGAGGCGGCGGCGAGCAAGGCGGGAAAAAAGATTTGAAACGCTCGGGCTACGGGTGGAACAAGTTTTCTGTTTCTTCTTGTTTTCCTTTTCCTTGTTCAATTTTTTTTATTTCGTTTGTTTCTCTTGTGGTCTGGTGAAAGTACATGGATGGAAACTTTATTAAATTGTTCGGATGAATTTGCATCTATTCGTTCTCCTTCAGTTAAACAGACAACGAACATTATATATATATATATATATATATATATATAATATATATATATATATATATATATATATATATATATATTTAGCGGGAAAGACAGAGAAAAAATAGTAGCGGAGAGAAGGAAAGATAGAGAGACAAAGAGACACAGAGTGAAATAAAGTGAGTAAAGTGAGGAAAAGAAAAACGTTTTGCATATAAATGTTTTTCTAACAATTATCATAATACCAACCTGTGACAAGTAGTTGAAGTGACGAATGGGCGGCAAAACTAAATACCCACATATCCTTTAAATAGGAATTTAATAGATCAAAAAGGGATGTTACTTTTTCCCCCAGAGTTCAAATTCCTTCGTCACATTCCACCCCTAAAAAGAAAAATCTAAATAAATAAATAAAATAACGGGTATCCCCCTAGATCCCAATTTCGTGGCATGAGTTGCCAATTTTTCTTTTCTTAAGATTGGAGGTTTTATAGTTTCATCAACTATAACATAAACTATAATGCAGATTATAGTTTTACCTTTTTAAATTTTCTGCACCATGTACATGTTGTACTGATCATAGGATAATACAATACGAGGATAAATAAAAATAAAAAATTTCCTTTTTTACAGCATTATTTACATACGTTTTTTTTCTAATTAATATGTTCTATTATGGAGATAAATACTGACTGACCGATAAAAGTATTGGTATTAGAAATCTTTGCGAAAAATCTGATTTAATCTAATCTAGACTTTTAGGATGATAATATTCGCATAAAAAGTGCTAATTAATTCTCAATCACACGTGACGCGTCCACGAAAAGGTCAGAATTATAGTTTAAAAACAACAAATATATACGAATATATAAATTATTTACATGAGCAGATACAAACCCTATTTTGAAATTGTAATCATTCAATGGAAAACGTGTTGAATATCCTTTAAAAATATTTATGGTAAAATCTTACATTACTACACATTAAACACGTACATATCATAAAAAGACATCTATTTGGCACGGTGGATACAGCTTGACGTATCAGGAATGCTGAAATGATATTGAAATAATATCTCTGAATTCACACACACACACAAATACATACATACTGTATACATACTCACTGACTCCCTCTCCCTCTACCTCTTCCTCTCTCTTCCTCCCTCCCTCCCTCCCCTCTCTCCCTCTCCCTCTCCCTCCCTCTCTCCTCTTCCTCTTCCTCTCTCCCTCTCCTCCCCCTTCCCTTCCTTCCTCCCCTCTCTCCCTCTCCCTCTCCCCCTTCTCCTTCCCCTCTCTCCCTCTCTCTCCCTCCCTCCTTCCCTCCCCTCTCTCTCTCTCCCTCCTCCTCTCCCTCTCTCTCCCTGCCTCCTTCCCTACCCTCTCTCCCTCTCCCTCTTCCTCCCTCCCCTCTCTCCCACTCTCCCTCTCCCTCTCCCTCTCTCCCTCTCTCCCTCCATCTCTCTCTCCTCCCCATCATCGCCGTCTCCTCCACGCCCTCCCTTTATCCCATCACGCCAGACCTTCCAAAACTTCTCCAAACGACCGAGGTCCTTCGTGTTCGCCGCCGGGTCCTCTGCTCCCACCGCTCCTGAGGTGGTCGTGATAATGATGATTATGATAATTATGATGGAAATGGTGATGTTGATGCTGGTGATAAAAATGATTAAAAGAAATAGAGAGAAAGGGACGGGAAAAGGGTTGAAGAAGGAGAAAAAGAGAAAGAGAAGGAGGTGGTGGAGGAAGATGAGATTGATAACAATGTCGGTGTCTTTCTCTTTCTGTCTCGAATCCAGTATCTCACGTCATTCTTCTTTGACGTTCTTTCTCTGTCTGTAGGTCTGTCTGTCTATCTGTCTACCTGTCTGCCTGTGCCTTTATTTCGGGGTTCGGGGTTGTTCATTTCGTTTTTTTTATGGTTGTTGTTGGCGTTGTTATTGTTGTGTTTCTTTCGTGTGTTTGTGATTATGGTTATCATTATTACTATTAATACCATAATTCTCTTAATTTATATTTTTTTGTGGGATTTTACATCAAAGAGATACAAACCAAAAGTCAATTAGATATATTTCTGATATTACTGAATCTAAATACCATTACCATTATTCCCATTATCACCAAAGCCACACCAGCCCCTCACCTGAGTCCGCCGGCGTAGAGAGGCAAAGAACAGCCCAGGAATCCCTCGCACAGACGACAGGCGATCGATCACATGATGTGGAACAACTTCATCGGGTTTCTAGATCTCCCCTGTGGCCTTGGGGTCGCAGCCGGCATACGCGGCATAGACGGTGATGCCCGGGAAATTCACACGGCAGAAGACGGTGATGTTGGCTACCATGTTGGGGTAGTGGGCGCTAGGGGTGGGAAGGGCGAGGGAAGGGAGGGGGGGAGGAAGAAAGAGAGGGAGAAAAAATTAGTTTAGTTTAGTTTAGTTTAGTCCTTTATTTACCACCCTGGCTAACTGCACAGGCGTGGGCAAGCTGTGGTACATTTGATACATGGTCAAAGCATTATATAATAGTATTACAGTGTAAATCTAGATCATAAAATTATTACGGTCTAAAATATATCATTTAAAGGAAAAGAACGATCAGTAATTTATCTACTCATCTATCAAGCCGGCATACGGCTTGGGCGTGGAAAGGCAATGTAACATTTGATATGTGGTCATGTGATACTACATTCCAAATTTAGGATATAACATTATTATATCTTCCAAGACATCAGATGATATGAAGTAGTTACATAGTTCTCCATACCTCATGCTAGGTGGTCTGAAAGGCTGTATTACATGGCACTCTGAGATATAATGTACAAGTGTTCGCTTATATTTTTCATTGCATAATTTACACTTCGTTTCTTCAACATTACAGCTGTACTGACCTGCCAGTACAATCTATATCCCAGCCTGATTCTTGCGGTCACAATATCACACTGTATTGTTCTTGTTTTGTATAAACCATAGATGAAAACATCTTGCATAAACCTGTCATAGTGCTTTATGCTACAGCTTTCAGGCCGTTGAGAATTAATCAAGTCAGACAAGTCCTCTTTGAAGGAAGTTTTAATTGTGTGAAATCCTAGCAAGAGGTACTCCAAGATCTATATCAACACTTTGCTTGTCACATGCTGATTTTCCTAGGCGGTCAGCATGATCATGCCTGGGGATTCCAACATGCGATGGTATCCACACAAAACATATATCATGGCCTCGTTCTTTTGCACGATACACATTTATCCTTATGTCATTTGCAATATTTCCTGCACCTTTGTTTAGTGTGTTCAATGGGAGCACTCTGTGAGTCGCAGAAAATGACTCCTGAGCCTTGACTTAATAGAAATTCGGTGGCTATGAGCATTCCTGCCAACTCAGTTTGCGTAGTGCTAGCCCAGTCATGAACCCGCCTACAATCCTGGTGCTGCAAAATATTGTTTTTATATACGACAAAAGCGCATCCTGCTCTACTCCCAGACTGCAAGGATCCATCAGTGTAGCATTCATACGCATTGGGCATAGGTTCAAGGTGCTCATTGATAATTGCTAAAGCATACTGCTTAAGTACAGCAGGGGGGACACTGTCTTTTTTGGGGGCAGTCGTATAAAATACACTTAGGTCCGACATTTTCCACGGTGGAGCAGAACGTACATGTAGGGTCTTAGTTATGGATATGTTCAGCTGAGACAAGTGCTTACATGTTACTTGTTGCCATGGATTTGAATTTGAATCGATGTTGCCATTCAAAGTTAGCTCCACTATTCTATGTTTTAGTTGTCTTTGGAACTCTGTACAATAGAGGGGTTCTCTTACTGCTTTGACGCTAAATGTGGTGTTTATGTATAATAGTCTTTCATAGACAGACGGCAAATTAAGTTCTGATCTCATATTCACAATCCTCGTTGTCTTAGGGGCACCGAGAATAAGCCTCATGGCCTCATTTTGTACAATTTCTAAACTAGCCAACTCTGATTCCTTGTATAATACTAGGTGCAATGCATGATAATCTATGACCGACCGTATGTATGACAGGTAAAAGTCTAGCAATATTGACATTTATACCATGGTCTTTGCCGACAAGTGTCCTAAGTGGCTTCAGACGTTTCCACAGCCTTTTCTTCAGGTTTTGTATGAACTCTGCATCATTAACAGCCACCCCGAGATATTTGTATTGGTGACAGAGATCTAGCTCAACGTCATTGATGTGAAACCTTGGCAGAGGGATTGTTTTAGGGTTAAGAGCCTTGGTTTTTTCAGTCGATATTATCAAGCCACACTCTGTAGCCCTTGCTGAAAGCACATCAAGGATCTGTTGCATTCTCTCCTCGGATGAGGATTTAATGCAAATATCATCGGCATAGCAAATAATGGAGTTACTGCCCTCAAGTGGTATATCGCCTAATAATCTATGCATTAGGATGTTAAATAGCATGGGACTAAGTACGCCTCCCTGAGGTGTGCCGAGTTCAAACACTTTTGCATGAGTACTCTTAACACCCCTGAAGAAAACCTGAGCCGATCGATTGGATAGATACATTTGAATCCATGTTAACAGTTTTCCCTGAATACCAAAGCTAGCTAGTTGCTCAAGGATCATTTCTCTGTTTGCAATATCAAAGGCAGATTGAAGATCAAGAAATACGGTTTGCATGCCTGGTATTGAGTTTGTTACGTATTCTGCAAAACAATGCTGACTGCTACGTCCTGGGAGAAATCCATACAGTCTGGGGGATAACTTAGCATGTATACAGTACATGAGTCTGTTCAGAATTATTCTCTCAAGTACTTTGCACAGACAGGAGGTCAAGGAAATTGGTCTGTATTTGTCAGTGTTGGATTTGGGTATAGGGATGATTAAACTTTTAGTCCAGGAGCTTGGGAGGATTCCTTGTGATAGAGTCTATACAGGTGTAAGAGTGGGTTGCCTGGCACCTGCGCAATGAGGCGAAGAACGCTGTAAGTAATGCCATCCTCGCCAGGGGCTGTTGCCT